ATGAGTTTTAACCCACCGGGTCCGGGCCACGAACCGCAGTCGACTACATGGGAGTCCAGCAACATAGCCATTACGCTAACTGCTGGTTCCCTCCACTCTCTATTTTTAAGAACCCTGCTGGGAAGACGGTGAGCCCTGGAGAAGAAGCTGGAGCAGTAATTTCTGGACCACAGTATTCTTCCTAAGATTCTGGGGAATATCTTTCTCTTATTCCTTTGCTGCTTCCCCCCTCCTTAATTTAGATTTTCCTTTGTGCTTTTCATCTATATTCTGTTTAATTCACTGCCAAGTTCCTTATTGGGCAGAAGAAGAAATGGGCCCAGTAGATGATTGAATATTAAGTAACTCACCTATAGGATTATGCAAGAGACACTAGCAAAAAAGAGCACAGAGAGCAGACAGTGAATGGTTTAGAGAAGCTGAAAGTGAGGTGATTGTGTGATATCTAGGCAAAGAAATTTACAGATATGTGGGTTGACCTCAGATGAAGCTATATATAGTAAATTGATTCTTTGAGAATCTTTAGCAATATAACTTGAAGTTTCAGCTTTTAAAGAACTAAAATAAAATGATTTTTACATTTTTTTTCAGAGAGACATTTTTGCTATAGGGTATGTGCACCCACCAGAGAGACAGAAAGTAAGAAATCACCCCTCATGGGGGATGACCGCACTGCAGTCCCTTCTCCATTCTCCTCTCAGGATTTTGGGTATGCATGCACATTCCTGGCATGAGTTTTAAGCTGCCAGGTCTGGGACTTGAACCATAGTTGACTATGTGGGAGTCCAGCAGCGTAACCATTGTGCCATCTCCTCATCCCTACATCTTTTTTTTTTTTTAAATAAAATTTATTAAGAGCGAGAGAGAGAGGGACTTACTTTGACAGTTTCTCACCATGGCCCAATTTCCCTGCCCTCTAAGCCTTCAAGCCAATCAAAATTTTGGGTGGTGCTTAAGGGTAACCCCAGCACATTCAGTTCAATCTGGAATAATAATCCAGGGCTTTCCAGGTGGCTCCAATAAATAGTGGCTCCTTACTGCTTGTACTACTGTGGCTGGGCTAAAATATTTTACATTCTGTTCCCTTAGATTTATAGTCATTATCCACCTACAACGTACAAAGTATTGATGTATTGGGGAGATGTTAAAAAATGAATAAAATATGGGCCGGAAGGTGGCATGGTGGTTAAGGAGCTTTGATTCCCACTTGGCTGACCGTGGTTCATGTCCTGGACCTGGTGGCTTGAAAATCACACCAGGCATGTGTGTGTGTGTACCCAAAATCCCAACAGGGGAAGGGACTGTAGTATGGCTATTTTGCTGGGAGTGATTTCTCACTTTCCCTCTCTTTGTCTCGCTCCAGCCTTATGGCAACAAAGCAAAACAAAACAAAAAAACTTAAAAAAAAAGAATAAAATAGTCTTTGCCTTCAAGAGGAGTCATAATCATGAATTAGACATATACAACCTTATTTTTTAAAAAGATGTATTTCATTTCATTTACTTGTTTGTTTTAATCTTATCAGAGAGAGACAGGGAGAGAGAGAGAGAGCTAAAGTGAGAAAGCAAGTCACCAGGTCCAGAACTTAAACCACTGCTGGCCATGTGGGAGTCTGGTACCTCAGCTCTCATGCCACCTGCCTGTCTCCATAAAACCTTATTTTAAAGCATATGTGGGTTGGGCCAGGAGGTGGCATGGTGATTAACGCCCATGGCCGACTCTGTGATTCCAGTTCCAGAACCCAGTGGCTTGAAAAACATGCTGGGCATGTGTACATGCATACCCCAAATCCTGAGAGAAGTACAGAGAAAGGATTGCAGCATGGCTGTCCACCTTGTTGGGGGAGGAGTGACTTCTCATTTTCCTTCTCTTTCTGACTGTCCTTACAGTAAGCCCTGGAAAATATTAAAATAAGACAAAAATGGCATATGTAGATAAATTCTAGAGGAGTACGGCCAAAGTGATGGTATCTCAAGGGGAGAATCATATTTTGAGGGGAGGATCTGGGAAAGCTTAAAGGTCATGGATTTTGAGCTCCTTAAAGGACTGATAAAACATCATATAGACAGAGGTTGTTCTAGACAGTAAATAACCTTGAGCAAAGGGGCGGAAATAACTGTACCATTTAATTTAAGAGTAGAGACCAGTAAGTTGAAAAAGTGTGTAGGGCTAAGTTATAATGATACTTTAAAAATTCTTAAAAGAGTTTTTCAAATGAATAAAATCTTTCTTGCTTTCAACCATGGCTTGTTATCCACTTGGATATACTATGAGGCAAATTGTGTATTAAAAGAGACTTAATTGACAAAGCGAAAGTTTGGTACTTAATCAACTTGTAAAAGGAGCTATATTTCTTCCCTTTAATGAGATTGTCATAAAGACGTGTACTGTACTCATGGTATCACAGACTCTTATCACTAGATGAGAAAATGTCACATGTGACTAACAGGTGATTTCAGTTTCATTTTAGTATTCGATCACAAAGGTTTACACACCCTTTAATTATACTGGTTTTCAGTGAAGAAGATACAAAAGGTTCAAAAGACGATTTTCTGGAAGTGACTTTGAATTAAAGAAGGCTTCTTATATTGTACAAGTAAGTGTATTTTATGTGTGTTAAATTTGGTCAATGAGTGAAGGTTTTCCAGTTTTTACTTCTTTAAATATTTGTTTTCTTGAGAGAAAACATCTCCAGTGGGCAAAGGTTATATATTTTGGCTGACAGCCAAGTAGCCACATAGCTAGGTTAACCTCTGAATGAAATTGGATTGAAACTGTCCTATTAAGTCAGTAAATGTCAGAAGATTCCCATGAAACTAAATTTTGTAGGTGGCATTATATCTCCTAAGATGGTGTTTGAACAGTGATCAACTACGGAAATAGAAATGAACTGTCTTTCATACAGGTTATACAACTATGTGGTTATTGAAGGAGCCGTGGGCCCTTTTATGAAAGCTGCTATATTTTATTAGCTTGCTGTGTAAGTTTCCTTGCAGTTGACATTATGTTCTGCCTGAGTGTAAGAAGAATATGTATGTTGCTGTATTCAATTAATCTACTGAGTCTAATGTTCTGTCAATAATGCAATTTCTGCTTCTTATGAATTATTCTTCCTATTTTGCAAAACTTGACTTAAAATTGCTTGCATTTTTAATATTCACTTCAGGTAAAGGAAGATCTCTTTAAAGGTGAAGACATTAAGAAATGAATACGCGGAGTGCTTAGGTATCATAGTTTGTAATTTTAAGGAATCTATCTACATTAAAAATGGGTTTTAAGTAAAATTTTAGCTCAACCATTGCATTTCAGTCAAATTTTACTCATCTGGATTTGTTTTCATGTTATAAATTCTGCTGAGAAGGGTCAGTGAAAATATGTTAAAAACGTTTGCTTGGCAAGTCTAGTATTACCACATTTGCAATTCTAACTATTGGGCTGTTGAAAAAGTCATAATGCATTTTCACATAGAAAAATAGAAAAAAATACGTCATGGTTTTTCCAACAAGCCAATATATCCCTCCACTACTTTTTTCCTCTACAGAAAGGAATAATACACTGTAGTTTCACTTTGTCTGCTATTACTAACCCTTTGTTTTCTGGTCTGTAAAATGGCGGCAACTGGAATTTTTGAGCATTAGAAAAGTGCTGTGTACAAAAACACTAGTAGTAAATACCTGTCAATAGTAGTAGCTACTATTGCTACTATCTATTCTTCTACCATATTTGCATTTTTTCCTCTTAGATAGCAAAGCTTACATTTTTGTTTGAGTGATGTTAGAACGGGACATAGATAGAATTTAAACAGATCCAGTATAACCATGCTAAGGAATCTCTGCCAGTGTTTTATGGAATGTCTGTTTCTAGAAGACAAATATGTAATCTAGCACTTTAGTATTTTGAACTAGCTGTTCCTTCTACCTGGAAAGCTTTCTCGTTAATTTCTACTTGGCTAATTCTACTACTCAAGAGTCACCTTCTCAATGAGTTCTGCTCTGATTTATGTAATTAGAATTATAGCCCGTGTTGTACCCCTCTCTACTCTTAACTCCTGATGTCCCCTTTTTCTCTGAGTGTTTTTTTTTCTATAACACTTATCAGTTTCTAATAATATTTAACTTATTATTGTTTTTATTATTCGTTATCTGTCTTTTTCTCCTAGGATATAAATTCCATAGGGGCAGTCATTTTTGTTATTCAGTATATCCTAAGAGCCTGAAATAACATATGGTAGGTTCTAAGTAGACATTTAATTGAGTAGAATAGAACCTCCTGATTGATCTCATTCCCCTGAACTCCATTTGTATGTTGGGCACGATGTCTTTCATTTTGTTTTTTAATACCAAAGAGTGTACCCATAACCTAAAAAAAAATCCTGCAATGTGACCTTGTCATGCTGTAATCCTTTTTTCCTTTAATTCTTTATCCTGTGAAGATCCTGGACATGCATGTAACAAGGTGTGTTTTTTTATTTGTTTGTTTTGTTTTGTTTTTGTTTTCAGCCACTAAGTTTATAGTAATTTATTTTACTTTTTTATTATATGCATTTTCTATGAGCTTTTTTTTATTGTCAACAAATAATTTTCCATTTCTTGTTTCCTGTATGTTTTGCTTCCCCCTCCCTCATCCTTGATTCCCTATCTCTTACCCTCAGCCATCTCCCACTCTCTTCCCACACTGTCTCTGGTATCTATGTTTACTTTCTATACTGTTTTCCCCCCATTTTTTATTGAATTACTAAATATCTTAATTAATCTAAATATTTTCATAGCAAACACAGCTGATATATACATTTTCATGAACACAAGTCTAACTTTAGGCATCCTATAAAGTATCACCTAGCTGGGGCTATATATCTTAACTGCAATCATCGAATGGTTTTTTTTTTTTTTTCTGAAACTTTTCTTTTTTTTCTTTTTAAACTTAATTTACATTCTTT